AGGGGTCGCGCCCTTCGAAGGGAGCCGAGCGTCCGGGACTTTGAGATTCAGTTTTCCTTCCTCTGGCGGGGCGGTGCGGCTGCCTGGGGATGCCGTCGTCCTCCGGCTTGGCCCCTCTCAGTGCCTGAGCGCTTCAAGTTAGCGCCCGCCCAGGTGGACCCCTAGGGCAGAGTAACCTCTCCTGAAAATCCTTCTCTCCAGGATATGAATAGGGGAGTGGTGAAGACTGACTGTGCCACAGCTAGAGTCCCAGAGCTAGACTTTGAAATCCCTGCTTTTTCTCAGAAGGGAGGTGGGTATGAGGCCATTCCGGTACGTCTTGGGGCAGCTGGTGGTGGCCACGGGGAGAGGAGTTCCTAGCACCTTCTTGCTTTTGTGGAGGAGACTGTTGCAGAGGAGGGGCTGCTGCTCCCAGAGGTGGAAGGGGTATGGGAGCTTTGAGGGTGTGCTGGGGGCATCTGCCTGCGTGGCTATTTAAATAACAGGGCTGCAAATGGGTTAAATCGCTCCCTGGCCCAGATTTCTGCCTGACCTGCAAACATCTTTTTTTTGTTCTGAGAAGGGGAGCAATGACTCCTTTCCAGGCTGGGTTGGGTTTGGGCTGCGAGGAAGTGCACTCTAGTCTGTACGCGTGAGCTCCTGCCACCTGCTGTTATTTTTCCAGGCCGGTTGGAACCGGGGCACAGTGGGGTGGGGACTTGGGGTTAGACAAGGCCGAGAATGCAGGACGCGTGTTCGTGTGGTGCCCATGGAGGGGCAGGAGCTATCATTTTTTTCTCCTTTCTGGTGCCTTACCGCATTACTACTTGCGTTGTGACTAGTCTGGAAGCGTGGAGTAATAACGACTGTGCGTTCCTCCTTTTCCCTCCCATCAGCTCTTACAACCCTGGAAGGGATACTTGACCGAGCAATAGCAGGACTGGAGCAGGATCAGCCTGACCGCAGAGTAAGCTGCTCTCAAGGAATCTGGGAGAAAGGGTGGTGCTTCCCTCACAGCTGGGGCTTCATCCTAGGTTGGCATCAGCATTTGGAGGTGTTAATCGCAGATAGACTTCCTGGCTACTGGAAAAAAAAAACCTGGTGGTTGTTCCAAAACATCTTGTTTGTTAGTAGATTCTTGGGATTTAAAGGCCGCTTCATAAAGCAAAACACAAGAGCATGGTCTTCAGCCTGTTTTCACAGTGGAATATGGCTGGCTGCAATTCTGAAAGCTGCACCTGAGAGGAATTTACAAGGAGTTCTGTGGCACCTTAAATACTTCATGGCATAACTCCTTATGGCCCTCAGTCCACTTTGTTTGAATCTGGTGGGGACAGCATGCAGTCAGTTGGTCTAGAACATGAGCAAGCCAGCCCCAGTGGCTTCGGCTGGTGGCTTTAGGGTTCTTAGTGCAGAGCTGTCTTTCTGGAGAATCTCTGCCAGTCAACAATCCTGGCTCGGGCCCTAGAAAGGGGCTCCCTTTATCTGTGTTTCTTCCAGTGGGAAATCAAGTCAGTTGTTTCTGCTTTTTCGCCATAGAAAACAGACACTGAAGTAGCAGGAAAGATTGATGAGTTCATCTCTAAGTTGAAAGGCTTGAAGGAAGTGGAGTCAGACTTCACCTTTGTAAGTTACCTTGGGCTGCTGAGAGGAGCTTCTGTCTACAAGCATCGTTATTCCCTGCAAAAGAGTGATCTGGGTGACACCTCTTCCCCTTCCAGATTCTCGACGATCCTTCGGGAAACAGCTTTGTGGAGAACCCTCATGCCCCGCAGAAGGACAACGCTCTAGAGGTCACCCATTACAGGAGGACGGCTCAGCAAGCAGCTCTGCTTGGCATAGAGGTACGGGGAGAGCGTGGAAAGGCCTCCAAGGGTGCAGCAGCAGCTCCCCTTCCTGGGTGCCTTCGAGCTGTGCTGTGAGCCCTGAGGCTCTGTGGGCCGAACGCTTATTGATCCCTCTCTTCCCTCTCAGGCGGAGGCCTCCGAGGTGGACTCGGCTGACTCTGCAGATGATCTGAAGAACGAGGTGAGCGGGCGGCTGAAGGGGCTGGTGGTTGGGTAGCTGAGACCCCTTTGGACCTGGTGCCTGTCCGAACAGGAGCAGAGGAACCCTCCGGGCAGAGGCGCCTCAGTGTGGCTTCTCTTGTACCAGGTGCTGCAGTTCAGCACCAACTGTCCGGAATGCAACGCTCCCACCAGCACGAACATGAAGCTGGTGCGTATCCTTTGAGCCTGCGAAGATGCCGGTTGCCTGCACCAGTCCTGTGATGGGGACCAAAAATATGCACTGCCATGCATGGACGGTGTGGGTCCACTGGCTCCTAGAGGGCAAAAGTATCTCTGCAGGATCCTGATGATTTAACCACAAACCTGCTCCTTGTGCAAGGCAAGGTGTAACGTCTAGCAAGAGGGCCAGGGGAGTAAAGCTTCTGAGTCTGCATGATGGAGTTTTCCTTTACTGCTTCTCCTCAGAAATTCCCCATTTCAAAGAGGTCATTATCATGGCTACAAACTGCGATGCCTGTGGGCACAGAACAAATGAGGTGAGCTTTTTCATTCTGGAAAGGCGGGCTTTCACTTGGCTTGAGGGCACCATGGGCTCTACTCCAAGTTACTGCTTGCCACCCTCTCTTCCCTTGCCATAGGTTAAATCAGGGGGAGCCATTGAGCCTTTGGGCACCAAGATAACTCTTCACGTGACGGGCCCTGAAGACATGACAAGGGACATTCTAAAGGTAATGTTCTTTTCTGTCAATTCTGACATTCATGCTTTTTTTGTAAATGCCAGCAACCAGGGCGGTCTTGTTTTAGGCTCTTCTGGAACTAAATGAAGTTCTCTCTTTTTCCAGTCTGAAACTTGCAAGGTACAGATTCCAGAGCTGGAGTTTGAATTAGGAATGGGAGCGCTGGGTGGAAAATTCACAACTCTAGAGGGGTTGCTGAAGGATATCCAGAGTCTGGTGAGTGAGTTTTGAGAGATAATAGGTCTGTCCCACCTTACCACGTTTCTTAAAATGAAGGAGGTGGAGATCAGCTGAAACAGCGAGCATGAAAGTCTTTGACTTGGGTTCAGCTGCTCCTGCCTTTTGATGTGTGGCATCTGGTCAGAAGGGAGAGAACAGTAAGAGGATTTTGGAAAGCCTGGGCCTGCTGGTCAGAGCAGCGGTTCCTTGGGCTGGTCTGGGAGAGCGGAACTAGGAGCTGAAGGCGTTGCCTCTGCGTTGGGCCCTAACCCTGAGGCATCTCTCCCCTAGGTGGAGAAGAACCCTTTCACCCTGGGAGACGGCTCTTGCCCTGACAAAGCGGAAAAGCTATCTGCATTTGGGAGGAAGCTCCAGCAGGTAGGCCGCCTTTTAATCCTACACACACTTCCAGCATTACACCTGCTGCAGGTCCATTGCATGATGAACCTGGGCACTTAACGGGTGATGCTTCTTGTGAACCCTGGTCGGATGGAGGGTGGTGAGCAGTCTGCTTCTCTTTTTTTTTCTACCAGATTGTAGAGGGGCAGATGAAAGTTCATCTTATCCTGGATGATCCTGCAGGAAACAGTTACCTTCAGGTAATGTAAATTGATGCAAATACAACTGGAGGAAGAGGGAAGGGACCGTCAGGCTTTATAAGAAGTATTGGGTGTTTTGTTCCAAAATGCAACTATTTCACATTTCCTGTAATGGTGCAGTGAAAGACAAACGTTTTAGATGCTATACTTATAGGCAGGTATTGGGACTTCAAAGCGCCCTTTGTTGTGGAATGTCACTGTGGGCAAGATGTAAAGACTCTTAAGTCTACCCCTTTCACGCTGAAATTGCTTGGGCAAGTGGTTCCCTTCATTGTTGAACTGCTGGGTTGTGAGGATCAGCTTTATGTGATCTGGTGTTCTTTGGATATGCCAGCATGGTAGTTTCGCAAGTGAGAGATCTGTAAGGTTGGCGAAAGCTGACCTTGGTGTTTCAGGGAAGATGTGTGAAGGGGCTGGGGTTGGCTCTTGGGCACCTTTAATGCTGTCCTAGCTTTGCATATTTTTAATAATGGTGTACATGATTCCCAGCACTTTTGATTCTGGCTTTTTATAAACTCCAATCCTGTTCCTAAAGGAGTCCTACTGGATTTGGGTAAAAGATTGGCAGCCCCAGAGAATTTACTGCAAACAACCTGCTGTCTTTTAGTCCTGTCTGATGCACCCTCTTTGCACTTCCAGAACGTGTATGCTCCCGAGGAAGACCCGGAGTTGCGCGTGGAGCGATACGAGCGGCTGTTTGAACAAAACGAGGAGCTAGGCCTGAATGACATCAAAACAGAGGGCTACGAGGCAGATTTTTCCTCCCATCAGTAGCCAAGCTGGCACTCTGGGCACTGTACGGAAAGTACCGGACTGCTGTATTTCAAGCTTTTGCCAATCGTTTGCTTTTGGCAAGAAGTAGCTTGTTGTCAAGATTGAGTCTGCCCCGCACATAGATGGCAGGGTGGGTTGACCCAAGTATTAAAGGTGAAGCATTGCTGACCCGGAAACTGGTTGCATGTTCTGGGAGAAAAGGGCATTGCGCGCAGCCAAAAGCAACCCTCTTCCTTCTCCCTGTTACGTGTGGTGGTCCTGCAGCGTTGCTCACGCTTGAATGTGAACTAGGCGTGGCACGGCGTAGGAATAGGAGGACAGGCAGCTACTTGTGGCTGTAGGACTCCCGCCTTTGCCCCCCCCCCCCCCCCCCCCC